ACTTTTTTGGACAACGCGCTCTAGGAAGAAGTTCATTTTATTTTATTTTTAAAAGATTTTAAGTAATCTCTACACCCGTGTCGCGGGGCTGGAACTTACAGTCCCGAGAGCAAGAGTCGCATGTTCCCCCAACCGAGCCGGCCGGGCGCCCCAGAAACTCATCCCACACCGTAGCTCTGCACACACGCACACGGGCACACGCCTACGGAACAGAATTCCGCGCGCGGTGCTCGCCTCGCTCCGGTGACGCAGGCCGAGAATTCCGGCCGGGACCCATTCGGTGTGTTTCACGACTTACTGCTGGGTTGTAACTTGCGGTTTTGAAAATACTGTTCTCCCAGGCTGAAGGTCCTTGGGGATGGGGGCAGAGGGTCAACCCCCACCCCACGCCACCCCATCCTCAGGCCCGGGGCACAGCTCTTCAGATGCCTCCCCAGGCCCGAGGAGGGATGCTGGTGAGGGGGGATGAGGGTCAGGGAGCTCGTCCAGGTGACCCCCCTGCCAGTCCCGGAGGTCCTGCGGGGCCTTCCCTTCCCTTCCGAGCATGGGAGGAATCCTGCTCACTTTCCCCTAGAAATTACCCTGTGGGCCTTTCACCCTCTGGGGTGTTGGGAGGCTGTCCTTAGCAACGTGCCTCACAAATATTTGCCGTCTGGGGAGCAGCTGCTAGCAACGGGGCACCCAGCTGCTGAACCTGATTGGGTCAGAGGGGCCGTGCTGCGTGCTGAGCCCTGGCTGAGCAAGTCTGGACTCTCAGCTGCGCTTTTCTGGTCTGAACACTTCCCTCTTCTCCCAGCCCAGCCCAGCCCAGCCTCGCTTCCCTCTCCCAGGCGCCCTCGCTTGGCTCCCAGATAAGTGTTCGTGGCTCCCACGTCCGGGAGAGTCTCTTTCCACAGAAAGACTCCTACAGCCCCCCCACCCCCGCTCCCCCCCACGTCCCTTGCATCCCCCCGCCGGTGTGTGCTGGTGTCAGGTCTGCGGACTTGGGGGAGCTGACCGTGGCCCTCTCATCCCAGCTCTGCAGTCGCGGGCAGCTTGAAAGCAGCCCGGTGGGGTGTAGATACACCCCGGAATGGGGCCGTGTCCTCTAGTCGTGCGGGGAGTCGGCTGTTGCACGGCAGGGCAGGCTGCCCGGCTGCGCCCGAGTGCCCTCCCCGGCTCTCCCCCGCACCTGGCTCCTGGAGCTCCGCTGGACGGGGAGGCACGTGCTGGACGTGCCCGGCCGGGGGGCTCCGGGGGGCTCCGGGGGGCTGCGGGCTCCAGGACGACCCACGTTCTCGTCCTGGCCCGGCCACGTACTGTCGTTGAGATCCCGAGCACTGGCTTTTGTGTCTGCGCCCGGAGCATCAATGACCCTGATACCCACTTCTCAGGTTGTGACAAGGAGATGAAGCAAAGGCTGGGCAGAGGCACAGTGAGGGCGCCCGGAGGGCCCTCGGTAGACGTTCTAAGAGTGCTGCGTAGGGACGCCTGGTGCCTCAGTGCTTGAGCGTCTGCCTTCCTCTCAGGGCATGATCCTGGGGTCCCGGGATCGAGTCCCGCGTCGGGCTCCCTGCAGCGAGCCTGCTTCTCCTTCTGCCTGGGTCTCTGCCTCTCTCTCTGTGTCTGTCATGAATAATAAAAACATTAAAAAAAATTAAAAGTGCTTCGTAAAACATGATCATGTTTTACACGTTGGAATTTGGCGTCATCCTTCACTGCTTCTCTCAACTTGGACTTCGGGGACAGACGTTTAGATTCAGAACTCCCAGGCAAAGCTTTGCAAACCCCTGCTCTCCCAGGCCTCTGTATTGGGATTGCTCCCTGTGGGTTTTGGGGGCTCATTACCTGGGCTTGGAGGGGCTGCAGAGGCAGCAGCTCGCCCCACCCTTTTCTTGTTGCCATCAGCTCATTCTCTTATGAATGAATAAATAAAATCTTTAAAAAAAAAAAAGAGAATGTAATGAATAAAATGTGACTAAGTGGCATTTGGGTAAAAAAAAAAAAATAGACCGTGCGAACAGGACAGGCTTGAGTGAAAGGTTAGGGAATCACAGCTGTGACCAGGGGTGAACTAAGGGTGAGGCAGGGAGGGAGGGAGGGGGAAGCCACAAGAAACCACCCTGGCCTGGCGCTTTCCTGAAGGGGAGCCCAGGGGGGCAGGGGCTGCGGAGCATGACGTGGGGCTGATGGTAGCTACCCCGGAGCTGGGGACACTGAGGATGGCCATAGCCCATGGGGCCATGTGCACTTCGGCTGCTGCATGGATTGAGATCCCTTGATGCACCTTTGTATACAGGGACACGTCAGTCTGCCAGTGGAGGCCTAGCATTCGAACCCCCAAACTGCTTCAGCGTTCTCTCCGTCACCATACGATTACTTATTTATTGATCATTCATCTTATTTATTTATTTAAAGATTTTATTTATTTATTCATGAGAGACGCAGAGACACAGGCAGAGGGAGAAGCAGCCTCTATACGAGGAGCCTGATGCAGGGACTCGATCCCGGGACCCCAGGATCATGCCCTGAGCTGAAGGCAGGCACTCAACCGCTGAGCCACCCAGGCGTCCCACATGTATTCATCTAAAAATTTTAATATTTATTTAAAATGTCCAAGAATCATCTTATTTGTTTATTTATTTAAGTAAGCTCTCCGCCCCACATGGGGCTTGGACTCGCTGCCCCGAGAGTAGGAGTCATCTGCTCTAGCCACTGAGCCAGCCAGGTGCCCCTGGTTTATTATTATTATTTTTTTAAGTAGAAGGAAACATGTTACAGCAGCATTAGAGAACCTGGTGATTCAAGAAGTTCCCTGGGTGTGACTGTCGTGGAGAAGAGTTCATCCTTACCACAAATACCTGTTGATGCCTGGTGGATGCCCGACCCTGAGCCGGATAGAGTGGTGGACAAGCTATAACCAGGGGCTTAGAGGGCTGCTCCGTGGGGCAGTGGCCTGGGCTGGGTGGTGGTCCTGGCTTCAGCCTAACCAGCTGTGTGGGTGGCCTTGAGCAAGTCACTCAGATCACAGGCTTAGAGGTCACCTGGTGCAATGTCTTAGGTTACCCAAGGGTGCACGGTCTCTGCACCCCGCCCTACACCCTATGGGGCCTCAGAACCCTCAAGTGTAAAATGGGGGCATTGGACAGATGATCTTGAGGCTCACTCTGGCTTTAATGTTCTATAACATTACAAATAGGAAGAAGTTCCAGGGAGGAACCTCCTCCTGTGATCTCTGTCATCCACCCTTAACACTGGGAGGAGGGGTAGTCGAGTCCAGTCCACAGAGATGTTTCTCAAACACATTCATGGTGCCGGGAAGGAAGGCACCTGGTCTTCCTTGATGCTGCCAAGTGGTCCCCAGGGGGCAGGGTTGGGAGGTGGGTCCTCAATGGGATCCAGCCCATTTCCTAGATTCTTTTTCTAACTCTTATCTTTTTTTTAATTTTTTTTTTATTTTAGGATTTATTGATTTATTTGACAGAGAAAGAGAGCAAGCACAGGCAGGGGGAGGTGCAGAGGGAGAAGCAGGCTCCCCACGGAGCAGGGAGCTTGATGCAGGGTTCAGTTCCAGGACCCTGGGATCATGATCTGAGCTGAGCTGAAGGCAGATGCTTAACGGACTGAGCCCCCCAGGCCTCCCACCCCCAGATTCTCTTTCTAGACACTGGGGCTGCTCCACGCTGCCTCTCCTTCCTCGGTGCACTCAGATCTCCTGCTTGGATCTTTCCTCTCTTCCTCCTCACCTGGCACCTCAGTCCCTTGAGCTCTTTTGTTCTCCCCATGGAAGGCCCAGTCCTCCTCTTCCCCTTGAGGCCGTCTGTTGTTTGGCTTCATTCAGGGTGTGCCAGGTGGGGCTAGGAGAAGGAGGAAGGGGCTTCTAATCCTCTGGAGGGAGGGGAGACTTGCTCACGCTGTGTGGCCCGGAGGTGCATTGCTACGACCAACTTCCTCATAGCAGTTCTCTTGAGTGTTCATGACGTTGAGTCCCCGTTTGCTCTTGCTTTGAGCTGCATTCGCAAAGGCCCAGGATCCTAGTTTCAGGGGCAGAATTTTAGAAATTTCTAAAAATCAGAGCTGCCCAACCGTGCTTGCCAGCAGTGGAGGAGTTCCAGCAGTGGTGGCTGGCCGCCTCCTACACGGGGCCCCGTACTGGTGGGGGGCTCTCGGCATACCAGAGGGCAGACACAGCCTCCTCCCTGGGGGGGACCCCTGGTTCCTGTGTCTGCTCCCAGCACCCCAAGGGAGTATCCTTCTAAGTATATATTTTACTTCAGAGGCCAGGCGCCCCTGCTTCGTAATGTGACACATGTGGTGCGTGATCCAGGCCTGGCAACTGCGTGTCTGGGGAAGGAGCAGGGATATAGGCTGGGCTTGGAAATGCACCACTCGCCCAGATCCTGGATGCAGAGCGGGGTGGTGCCTTGTGGATGATTGCTGGGTTGCGCAAGAGAAGGCACTTGGACACCCTGTTTTTCTGTTTCATTTCCAAATCCTGGGGTGTCTTTTAGCCAACGAGGACAATAACACCTCCATTAGCCTCGTAGCTTCTCCTAGTACTGCCAAGTGCCTTCCTTAAGGTAGAGTCCCCTTGAGAAGCTCCACACCCCTCAGTCCTGTGTCTCCAGGCACTCAGACGCCCCATCTGGACCCCTCCCCTTCTTCCCCATCCCCCCATCTGCTTCCCTGGGAAGCCTTCCTTGGGTGCCCCCAGCCACCGTCCTGGCCTTGGAGTCCGGTCTGGGCTGCTTCCTTGCTTCCGGGCCGTGCCCAGCTCTCCAGCGGCCTGGGGGCTCCGAGGACAGCGTCTGGGCCTCCTCTCCCCTGGCCTCTGTCCTCCAGGCGTGTCGGACTAGGTCACCTGGAGCCAGTGACAGACACAGTCAGGCTGAGAGCATCCTGCAACCCGAGGCCCAGCCCAGGCCCAGGAGGGGATAAAAGTCTCGTGCTGGGGCCTCGGGGCAGGAACTCACACACCCGGATGATCCTCTGTTGTCTGCACTGTCTGCACTGTGTGGCCTTGTCTCCAGCATGTCCGTCCCCTCAGCCCGGGCCCCGAGGGGCTTCAGCGCCCGCTCAGCCTGCTGCGCTCGCTCGCGCTCGTGGGGCCGTGGGGGCCGCTTCAGCAGCCGGAGCTGTGCTTCCTTCGGGGGGAGCAGGGTTGACTCCCGAGGGGGGGCTTGGGGGTCAGGGGGAAGGCCGGGGGTGCAGTCTGGGGGGGCCCGAGGTGGGCCTGGCCTTCCCCTGTGCCCTCCCGGGGGCATCCAGGAAGTGACCATCGACACTGCTCTGCTGAGCCCGTTGAATATTGGGATCGACCCCCAGTTCCAGGTGGTGAGGACTCAGGAGACCCAAGAGATCCGGAGCCTCAATGACCAGTTTGCTTCCTTCATCGACAAGGTGAGGGTCAACTTGGTGAAGCCCCTGTCTCTGCCTCCCTTGGAGGAATGTTCTCGATGTATTTGGGAATGGAGAAGTCTGCTCAGCTACCATTTTCCTTCCTTCCTTCCTTCCTTCCTTCCTTCCTTCCTTCCTTCCTTCCTTCCTTCCTTCCTTCCTTCCTTCCTCTCTCATGAGAGACAGAGAGAGGCAGAGACCCAGGCAGAGGGAGAAGCAGGCTCTGTGCAGGGAGCCTGATGCGGGACTCGATCCCAGGACCCCGGGATCACGCCCTGAGCCAAAGGCAGATGCTTGACCGCTGAGCCACCCAGGCGCCCCTGCTACCACTTTCCTAATCACTTCTGCAGCCAAGAGGTCCTTCCTGTGGTCTCACTGCAGTCTCTCTGATGACGCTGAGGCCCTGCAGTTCTATGCTAGGGGCTCAGGAGCGGAGGACGGTCGTTTGGCAGTGGGGAGATCCTCCCCTGTTAGCCATTCTGATAATTTTGATATGCTCAGAGCCTCCTGGGAGGGCCTGAGGCTGCCCCTGCCCAGGCTGGGTTGGGAGGTAGGGGAAAGGTGGGCTCACCGGAGGAGCCCCTGAGGCTTTACTAGCCAGAGCCTGTGGCCAGGGGTCCCACGGCAGCCTCAGGGAGCCTCTGCTCGGGCTGCAGGTGCGCTTCCTGGAGCAGCAGAACAAGATCTTGGAGACCAAGTGGCAGCTGCTGCAGCAGCAGGGGGTGAGGGACAGCCCCCTGGACCTGGAGACCTTCTTTGAGGGCTACGTGGCCCAGCTCAGGCGGCAACTGGAGCAGCTCCAGAGTGAGCGAAGGGCTGTGGACGCTGAGTTGAAGTCTTGCCAAGACCAGGAGGAGGAGTATAAGGCCAAGTAGGTAAATCCCAGCGCCCCTTGGGGCCCGAGTGGGGCCTGGGAGGGTTTGGATCAGGACTGTCAGTTGGTGGGTCTCCCACATGCTGAGCTCCCAGTGACATGTGAGTGGCTCCTCTGTGCATCCCCTTCCCTCTGATTCTCAGGGTGCTCCACCTGTTGCAGGTAAGGAGGCCCCGCAGTCCCTGATGCCCAGGTCTGGAGAGCCTCGGTTCCAACAGACCCAGCTGTGAGGGCCATGCTTCGGGTCAGGGCCGGGAGGAGCCTATTTTAACAATGCCTCAGTGGGTTTTTCCTCGATAAATTCCTGTTGAGCAGGCTGTGGGCCAAAGTGACTCAGAGGTTCTCTGGTTCCGGTATTGTGGAAGGGAACCCATTCAGTGGGACCGTCCCCGGGCTTGTGGCATGATTCACAGCTGGGCTGTTTTTGGGTTCCCCACCTAGGTCACCCGGTGGTGTGGAGAGAGCCCTGGGCTAACAGGAGGCTTGGGTTTGGCGCCTGTGAGCAAGGGGGAGCTGTGTGGCCTTTCAGCTTTGCCTATCAGCTCCCTATCTGGAAGGTGGGAACATGCCACCTGCCCTTCTTACCTCCCAGGGCCATTGGGAGGATGGCGTGGGAGGTGGAGTGGGTCCTGGGAAGAGTTCAGGATTGGGGCCAGGAGACCTGGTTTTAGATCTGCTTGGGCCACCTATTGATGACTTGGGCAAGCCATGTAATTGCTCTGACAAAAGGCGAAACGCCCGCTTCATCACCTGATGGCTGTGAGCAGCAAGTGAGGAAAGGTGTTGGGATGTGCCATATAGATGCGACGGAGAGTGGTCTCACGTGGTTGGTGGAGTGAAGACGGGCAAAGCCAGGACGTAACGATGACTTCCTGATGGGAAAGGCAGAGGCGAGGGCAGCTTATGTGTCTCGTTGGGAGCATCTAATGGCCTGGGGGCCGTTTCAGGGAGGTCGTGCTCGGAGGAGGGGCATGGGCTCCGATCTCGCCACCCTGGGCAGCGGCCTTCTGTACCTACCTGACAGGTATGAGGAGGAGGCCCACAAGCACGCCACGGCTGAGAATGACTTTGTGGTCCTCAAAAAGGTGAGGGGGTGGTAAGGGGCTTCCCTGGGATCCTGAGCCCCCACCATGCACAAAGCTGAGTCCTGGGCTGGGACAGCAGGTGGGGTGGGAGATCCTAACGCAGCACGTGGTAGTGCACTGCCTTCGGGGGGCTCCCAGGGGGATGGGACACCTGTGTGGACACAGGCGCCCCCGGAAGATCTGATGGAAGGACCATGTGATGAGCTCTGGGTGTCACGGTGGGAGAAGGTGGGGAGGGAGTGGAGGACGCAGAACCGGTTGGGAGTCCTCGGGGAAGGCCTCCTGAAGGCGGTGTGTGCCAGTGTCAGGGAAAAGGGAGAGCAGGGTGAGAGGGGGCTGGAGGGGGCTGGAGGGGTCCCCGGGGTGGCCGTGGGGGAGTATTGGGAAGTGGGAGAGCAGAACTCGGGAACCAGAGCGGGAGTGGGAGTCCATGGCTTCTGTGTCCCTGTCCCCAGGATGTGGATGGGGTTTTCCTGAGCAAGATGGAGCTGGAAGGCAAGCTGCAGTCTCTGCGAGAGTACGTGTGCTTCTCGAGGCGACTCTATGAAGAAGTGAGGGTCCGCCAAGGGCAGGGTGGTGCTGAGGGCGGGGGGTAGGGGTGGGGGTGGGAGGTGGGGGGTGGTCAGGAGGCGAAGGCCGGTTAGTGCGACCTGGAGCCGTCACTCGGTCATTTGACAAACAAACGTTGCGAACGTACCGTGCGGCTTGCTGGGCAGAGGGATGCGCTAGTGAACCAGACGGAACTCACGACATTTGCTTTCTGTCGGGAGGCGGACGGGGAACAATAGCCCGAGCACTAGCCCGAGTAGACCGTGTGGCGTTGAGAGGGCGATGGATGCTACGGCAAACAGGAAAAGTCAGAACAGGCCCGGGGGCTTGGGAATGTCGCAGGGGGTAGGGCAGGTGGCAGCTTCGCATGGGGTGGTCGGAGGGGGCTTCATTAGGAAATAAAGTTTGCGTAAAGGTTGGAAGGAGGCGAGCAGTGAACGGGGCAGGTGGAGTCGGAGGGAAGGGCCCCTCGTCGTGCGCTGGTATCTTTGTGAGGCGGCCTCGGGGATCAGAGCGGGAGGAGGAGGGGGTGGGGTGCGGTAGGGGGTCAGAGGAGTGGCGGGGCCCAGGTGGTCTGGGGCTCGCAGGACGTTTACCTTTAATGTCCAAGCTGCAAGGGCCATTAGGCACCACCTCCTACAAGCCTCGTCTTCAGGTGAGGAGAAGCAGGGGCCCGGGCATGCTCGACCGCCCAGCGGACTGAGGGCTGCCCCCGACGGATCCAGGGGGGCATGAGGCCGGGCATCACGCCCACCGCCCCGGCCCCGGGGCCCCGGGGGAAAGGGAGCGGGGGCAGCTGGACGCTGACGCAATTGTCCCTGCAGGAGCTGGGCCGGCTCCAGACCCAGGCCGGCGACACGTCCGTGGTGCTGTCCATGGACAACAACCGAGGCTTGGACTTGGGCGACATCATCGCGGAGGTCCGCGCCCGCTACGAGGAGATCGCCCGGAGCAGCAGAGCCGAGGCCGAGACGCTGTACCGGACGCAGGTGCGGGAGCCCCGAGGCGGCCTGGGCGGGCAAAGCCTGGGATTCGCTGCCCGGGTCCTGGGTGCTCGTCCACCGCGGCCCCCTTGGGGCAGGTCTGATAACCTGCCCGGGGCTCCGGGGCCGGGTGGGCACGGCCACCTCCACCTCCGGGGGGGGGCGGCAGGGACAAGAGCAGCCCGACTCCCGCAAGCTCATCCCACCCTGTCCTGGCTTCAGCGTTTAAGCCGCGATCCAAGTGAGGACGTGAGAGGCACAGAACGGGGGACGTGGTGTTTCTCACGGTCTTGGGGTCAAAGGTGAGGGTCCTGTCAACCGGTGGTGTCACCCGTGTCCCTCTCAGTACCAGGAGCTTCAGGCGTCTGCCCGGCTTCACGGGGACAGCATGAAGGGAACCAGAGTCCGCATCTCCCAGCTGCAGGAGGCGAGTCAGAGGCTGCAGGGTCAGATCGAGAACCTCAGGACGCAGGTGAGGCTCCCAGAGTTCCCCAGGCCCTCCCTTGGGCTACCTTTGTGCCAGGGTCCCCGCCAGGTGTGTGTGCAGGTTTGATAACCGGCTGGAGCTCTGGGTACTTTGGGGGGAGAGCACCTGAGGCCCCGTTTTGGAGGAACTTGGCCTCCCTCCTGCGGATTCCAGCCGAGGACAACTGCATTGAACAACTCCAGGGGGCGCTGCTCACGCTGCCTTCTGTGGCCTGGGGTGCACCTTGCTTTTGGCTCCTCGGGGAGAGGGCCGATCCTTCTACTTTCTTTTGACTCTTACTCCTCAAGCGCAGTGGCGACTCTAGGGCCGGGTGCTGACTTTCTGGGTCCCGTGCTGGGGAGCGTGAGAGCCAGGACCCTAGGGCGCAGGCGTGATGGGCAGTGCGCTGGGGCGGGGAGTGAGCCCTCCTTAGGCAGATCTTTGGGCGGGTTGGAGGTGATGCCTCTGGGGCCTGGCATGCGACGAGAGGGGAGAGGCGGAGGGGAGAGGATGGCAAGGGCGGAGACGCGGTTTCTTGCTAGTCCTGGAGCCCTCACTCCTGGATGTGGAGGCTTCCAGACCCTTCACGCTTTCAAGTCTCTTTGCACTCCCTTTCCCCAAACCCAAAGAATAGATTTTGGGATCAGCAGAGGGTTGAGAGTTGAGGCTACAGAGTCAGGCGGTTTCCCCATGCAGTTCGGCTTGACCCCCGGGGCGCGCACGGCCTCTGCATTCCCAAGCGGGGCCCTCCCGGGAAGCCCTTGGAGCTCAGGTCATTGGAAGCCCGGACTCAGTCTCCACCCATCCCCACCTGGCCTCCTTCGGAATGTGACACGGGACCGAGATGAAGGTGCCCAGGGCCTATTATTCAATTTGCTGCCACGGTGTTTGGGCCCCTAAGTTTGAATTCCTTGCTTTGGAATTCCCCGGGATGTCTATTAAAATGCAGATTCCTGGGCCCCTCTCAGGCTAAGGGCCTGGGTCTCTAAGGGGGGAGCCGAGAAACCCACTTGCTGAGCTCAGCTCACCCAGGTGATTGTGAGCCGGCAGTCTCGGCCCGGCAGGCAGCACTTAGGAGGCCTACCGCGTCCCCACATCTGGACCCGCTCGCCACACTGCAAGCTGCCTCTCCTGCGAGAATCGCTCTGGGAGCACAGCCCCCCCTACTCCTCCTTTTCCTGCACAAATGTACGGACTGGACTCCCCTGTGCCAGGCCCCGCGCAGCCCCCAGCGCTGGAAGTGGGGGGCCAGCTGGCAGCTGTCCCGGGTTAGGGACCCAGCTGTGCCACTCACAGCTTCTCTGACTCTCAGTTTCTTTATCCGTAGAATAGAGACGATGCTCCCCATCAACAGGTGCTCATGTACAGAGTAGGGTAACGAGGCTGGAATGGGAGTAGGAGGGAGAGCCCCCAGGGGATGCCTTCTTTCCTGATCCCGAGGCCGAGTCAGCGGGGTGGCCCGTTAGCTGGGGATGTTGCTCTCCTTTGGGGAGTTTTCTATCAGATCAGAAAGGTGAGTACGGAGAGCGTGCTCCTCAAACCAACAACTGAGGCACGTGGCTTGATGTGGTTTGATAAAGAGGACAAAGTATTTGAAGTGGGGTTGTCCTAGAGCAATCAAGTGCCCTTAGGAGGACACTTGTAGGTAACGCTCCACGCAGCGGGACGGACAGGAAGACCAGTAAGTGCCCGGGCAGAGGTGGAGTGCCTCGAGTAAGGTGCCAAGGGGTGCGTTTCCTAACAAAGTGCCACAAACTTAGAGGCTTGAGGCACCAGACCGCGTATCCCCTCACTTCTGGAGGCTAGAAGCACGAAATCGGGTGTTGGCAGGTGCAGCCCCTCTGAAGGAGCTGGGTGGGGGCGTCCTTCCTTGCCCTTTCCCGGCCTCCGGTGGTCCCGGGCATCCTTGCCATTCCTCGCCTTATGGCTGCATCGCTCCATCCCTGCTTCCGTTGTCACATGGCGTCATCCTGCCGCGTCTGTCTCTGTGACCTGTCATCTTTTTCTAGGGACACCACTCAACGGGGTTAGGGCTCATTCTACACATAGTATGATATCATCTTGAGATCCTTAGCTAATCACACCTGCAAAGACCCTATTTCCAAATAAGATCACAGTCTGAAGTTCTAGGTGGACGTGACATTTTTGGGGACACTATTCAACCCACTCTGCGAGTTAAGGAAGCAGAAGAGGCGATGCTTTCTGTCAGAGCGAGAGGAACGGGGCAGGGGGTGGCCGTGGATAATTTTGAGCTCATGAGATTGTGGTCTAGCCACAGTAGATTCCTTGGGAGGCTGTACCGGGCTTGCAACCACTCTCCCCTTTGTTTCGACACCCCCCCCCCCAGAATGCCAACCTGCAGGCCACCATCACCGATGCTGAGCAGCGTGGGGAGCTGGCCCTCAAGGACGCTCAGACCAAACTGGCCGAGCTGGAGGCCGCTCTGAGAGCCGCCAAGCAGGACCTGGCCCGGCTCCTGCAGGAGTACCAGGAGCTCATGAGCACGAAGCTGGCCTTGGACGTGGAGATCGCCGCCTACCGCAGGCTGCTGGAGGGCGAGGAGAGCAGGTGGGGGCCCGGGCACACGGGAGAGGTGGGAGAGGAGGAAGGACCGCCACCAGCGTGGCCTCCTCGCCGAGGGACATTCTGAGATTTCCTAGCGCTCCCACCCACCCTGCTGGGAGGGATTGACAATCAGGACTGGGGATTTGATCTGCTGAGAGGCTAAGAAGCACCTGGGGACCCATTCTCTGGAGCCTTTCTGAGCATTTTGTCCTCTTCTCCTTTCTCCCCCAGGATGTCTGGGAGGTGCACCAGTCAGGTCATCATCTGTGAGTATCGGGGAGCTGGGGAGAGTGGTCCCCTGGGGAGGACCCTGCTGTGACTCTGGTGCATTTCTTGGCAGCCGTGGGTGGAGGCAGCACCGTCCTGTCTGGAGGCGCTGGCAGAGGCCTGGGGGGCTCTTGTGGCCTTGGAGGCGAGAAAGGCAGCTTTGGGTCCAGCTGCTCCAGCGTCGTGACCGGAGGCTCCACCATCACCCTGGGCTCCGGGCAGGGCCCTGTTTTGGCCTCCTGCTCTGTGTCCGGCTCCGGCTCCAGCTGCCGCACCATCCTGAAGAAGACGGTGGAGTCAAGTCTGAAGACGTCTGTCACATACTGAGTGACCTCGCAGCCACTTGCTCCTCATGCCTTCCCGAGCCCCCTCAGCCCTGCGCCCCCCTCCACCACCCACCTCCCTGCATGGCCAGCTCCGTGCACGTTGCCCACAGCCTGAGCCAGGCCACTCGCAGGGAGTGCAGGCCTGAGCCAGGCCACTCGCAGGGAGCTCGCAGAAGCCAATAAAGTCGCGCCTGCTTGCTATTCCTGCTGTGTGCCCAGGCAGGCCTTGCTCTGCGTACGATTTGCGTCTCACTGGCCTGCTGTCCACCCCAGGCCCCAGGTCCACGGCGCCCTGTCCTCCAGCCCTGGTGGGCTCGGCCAGCCAAGTATTGTCCTTTGTGGGGAGAGGAGGGGCCTGAGGCCCAATGACCAGAGCCTGGGGGCTGGAACCAAGGGCCACCACCCTGGTCCTCTTCCCTCCCTCTGGACTTCTCTCTTGTGAAATGAAGCAGAACCCATTTCTCCCTGAAGGGGTCTTCCTTTCTCTCTCCCCTCTCCCACTCTTTCCCTCCCACAAATTTCATCGAATTGCAAACCATACTGGAGGCACCATGCCAGGACGGGGCTACTCTGGCGAGCAAGATCAACCCCATCCTGCCCTTCTAATGGGCTCAGTGTCTCTCTCTTTTAAAAAGTAAGCTCTACACCCAACGTGGGGCTCGAACTCACCATCCTGAGATCCAGAGTCACATGCTCTACAGACTGAGCCAGCCGGGTGCCCCTGGGTTCAGTGTCTCTCCTGCTCCTTCAGTTTCGGGGTTCTCCAGCATAGTCCCTCCCACCCATGAGAGCCAGATCTTTTTGGAGCCTGAGGTAACCAGGGCCAGAGGCCAGCCTCCTGCGGCTAAGTCAACAGCCTGTGCTAGGAGATGGGGGTTTCTGTCCTTCTCCCAGTCCCCTCCCAGGGCTGCCCTGGCTCCAGCTCCATCCAGGGTAGCAAGCTGGGTCTTTTCATGTCAGCCCCACTTCATCTCTGAGCTTTAAACTGGCCCTTCTCCTGGACAGGGGTGCCCCGGGCAGGTTAATAGTTCAGCACTGATCCTAAGCAACAGCTCTAAATGCATGTTCCAAGGGGATTTAGACGGGAGGCTGAACGGCAGAGACGAGGGTTCCCTGCAGCACCGTGCAGCTTCTCTGCCGCTCCTTCCAGCAATTCAGCTCTGCCCCGGGCTTGCACCTCACCTAGCAGAACAGAAGCGGTGCTGCTGCCCAGCCCACTCTTCCCAGGGAATTCGTGGAATATCTATTAGTGTTTGGGAATTTCCAATGGGCATCTCACCCCTCATCCCAATCAGCTCATCAGGGGGCTCCTTCCAGCCTTCCACTCTGCTCCCTGGGATGTCATCCATCCCCTCCATCTCCACTGATGCTTCAGTATCTCTTTTAGCTTGTTCCCTGGTAAAGTAACTGTACTCTGGACTGGAGACAGCCCCTCATCCCTGCTCCTCCTCCTCCTCCTCTTTCTTCTTCTTCTTCTTTTTTTTTTTAAAGATTCTATTTACTTATTCATGAGAGACACACAGAAAGAGAGAGGCAGAGACAGAGGGAGAAGCAGGCTCCATGCAGGGAACCTGACGTGGGACTTGATCCCGGGTCTCCAGGATCACGCCCTGGGCCGAAGGCCGGCACTAAACCCCTGAGCCATGCAGGGATCTCCAACCTGCTCCTCCTTCTTCCCATGTCTGCACCAGATTTATCTCCTCCTGGAAACCCTCCCTAATTCCTCAAGTCTGAATGTGCCAGACCCTTTCTGTGTCTGGCACAGCCTGGCTACACCTGTCTTTGGCTTGGTCTCTGGCTGGTTCTGGTCTGGGATCCAGCTTTCCTATTAGCCTGGGACCAATGGGCAGGTTCTTCTCCTGCACCCAGGATGGGGCTCAGGTGCTCAGCTTGTGCAGGGCTCTGATGAGCCTTTGGGACTGGAACTCTGTCCATCCCCTTACCTCTTGGCTCTCACCCCACCACTGGGCCTGTCTGAACATGAGGCTGGAAGTGTCTCCTTCCCTTTTCTGCAGGAAGCTCTGCGGGAAGCCAGGAGTGTGGGCAACAGGGCCAGTTGCTAGGTGGGTGAGGAGGGTCACCTTCTCCACCCCAGCCCCTATCCCATCAGCCCATTGGCTCCAGCACTACTCCTGCCTTCTCCCTCCTGTGTGGCTCAACTCCAAACTCCACAGCCTAGACCACGGGAGGTCATGCCATTGCTCCCAGCTTTGAGGGAGGTCAGCCCTTTTCTCAGACCCAAAGATCTCTTCATCAAAAGTATCCAAGAAGGGGGCTTTTCAGCCTTCTGTAAGGGAGACAGGAGTTGGGGAGCACATGACCCAGGGACCAGGATCCCTGGGTTTGCATCCTGGCTCTGCCACTTACTAGTGGAGTGACTTTCACCAAGCTCTGTAACCTCTCCAGTTTCCTCATCTGTGAGAAGAAATAAATAATAATGCTGACCTCACAGGGCTGTGTGGTGGTTGTGCCATTCAGGATCCCAGCAGGAAACACAATTCACCCGAGAAAGTTTAATTACATGGGCTTTGATGCGAGAAGTACCTACGGAGTGTGGACGTGGCTAAGGGAACACAGATAGGATGGAGGGGCCGGAGCCTGGCAGCAGTGGGACGCCACTGCCACCCCCAGAGCTGGAGGGGCCAACCTCTGGTTTGTCCAGGGTGGGGTGGTTTTCCAGGATGTGGGACTTTCAGGGCTAGCAGGGAGAACCAGGAGGAGGAGGTCGCCCTGTGTAGAACTGAAAGACAGGATGAAGTGAGTGGGAGGTGAGAGGGGGCGGGAACTCATGCGGGGGGGCATCCTCTGGAAGAGGCTGTGCTCCCTTCCTCCCTCCTGGATCTCCTGCTGGTGCCCTCCAGCCCTGGCCAATCCATGAAGCCAGAGAGCAAGGGAGCAGCCTATGGGGCCTAGGAGGTGGGTGGCCGTTCCGGGGCAGGAAGGAGGTGGACGGAGCCTGCCCAGTGAGGACATCGCTGTTAGATTACCCCTGCAGGAGGGCTCCATGGGCAGCCCCTGTCGTCTTCACCCGTATCTTTCCTATGGCTCAGTACCCAGGCTGGCTTGGGTTGGGTGCTGTTGGGTACTCGGCTGACACCATCAGCCGCCTCGCCTTGTCCCCCCTGCAGCAGCCTTCCATCCCCTCGGCTCTTGCATCCCATCCTATTGCGGGGTGAGGATGGGGGAACCCCAGGCAGGTGACAGTCTGCAGATGCAGAAGTCCTTGGTTGGAGCAGCAGCAGCGCAGGGGAGAGGGCTGCTTCTCCTGGGCCACCGAAAGAAGGTCTGAGCTTGGGTGTCCTGCGTGAAAGCAGAGAGGAGAGTCAGGGCCCGAGGAGGCACAGTGGCTCCCCACCCTCTGTCTGGGCTGGGACCCTGGAGCCCCTGCTAGGGCGGGAGGGAGCCTGTCCCCAAGCAGCAACTCGCAGGGCGAGCCCTGGCAGCCCATGCCACTGTGTGTCAATAGCTTCCCCACAAAGCCTGGCACAGAGTGCCAGGTCAACGCATGTGGCTGTCATTCCTGGGGAGGGGTGGAGTGTGCGGAGACGACTCTACTCCCACCCCCCACCCCCCCACCCCCGCCCTGACTCAGAGGGCTGACATCACTCCCTTCCCCAGAAGCCCCACTCCCGACTGTTTCCCTCTCCTTCCCACGCACCTGCGGGGTGAGATAAGGGCGGCTGAGAAAGTGATCACAGCTGCAGGGACAGGAGACAAAAGTCAGTGGGAAGTGACAGCTCAGTCCTGGCTCATCCTGGGAGGGCAGGCCAAGGCTTTCTGCAAGGGCTTCCCCTTTCGAAAAGGCAGAGGCGAAGGAGGCCCAGAGAGGTTGAGAGCAGCCCACGGATGCACAGCTCAGCGGGGATTCTCCTCCCAGTCTGGCTGGCCCCAGTGCCTCGGACCCTGCTCCCAGCAGGGAGGAAGATCCCCTCTTGGGCATTAGGGACTAGTTCTGGGAGAGGCCCTCACCGCATCCCGCACGGGCATTCTGACTTCTGACATGGCCAAGTCTTCCTTTGGGGCTGTGTTTGGTCCCAGGAGCCCAAGGTTGGGCGACACGGAGAGGACTGTGTGAAGGAGCCCCCGGCCCCACTGGATCAAGCCCCAGGCTCCTTGAGGGCTGGGAAGATGAGAACGTTAGGGTGCCCCACGGGCCTCTTGGGGCCTTTGTTGAGCACATACTTCCGAGATCTGTACTTATGTCCAATCAGAAAGGGAGGTGTCCTTGACCCACCTCCAGCCCCCTGCAAGGTGGCCGGGGCCTTCTGGGGTGCTCTGCTGCGGCGCAGGGGGCTGGGGGTCTCGGGCGGTGGTCGGAGCCCTCTGTTTCTCTTCAGCCCCCCGAGTGCTTTATTCCACTCGTCCCTCCCAGCCTTAGGGCGCTGCCTGAGGTGCCCGGGCCCTTCCATCTTCTCCAGTGCCCCGGCCCCACGTTGGGCAGACAGCCCCTTGCTGTCCTTGTGTCCACGGGGTCTCCACCCAGCAGAGCATCTGCCAAATGTGTGACAGGAGAACAGACTGCCCCGTGCCCCCCACCCTGGACCTGCCAGGAGGCGATGAGGCCGTGGGCCGGGAGGGTGGGACTGGAGCAGGCCTGGGCACCCTCTCCCCAGCCCGTTGCCCAACCCTCCCTCCCTTACCACCTGTACAGCCCTGGGCCCCGGGGCCTTGGCTTGCGACAGGTGCCTGGGCCAAATCCCACAGAACAGAGCCCCATTGATGGCGGCCATCGGGGCTGGGTGGGAGGAGACCAAGCCAGCCACCGGGTGGGGGGTGGCCGTGGGAGCCCGTATCATCCCGTTCCAAGTCAGGAGAGCCCCAGGGGGGAGAAGGCGGCATCCTGCTCCACACAGTCTCGGCTCAGCCCCAGCTCCGGAGCACAGGTGATACCTGGGAGCAGCCCCTCCCTCCCGCTGGGGGAGAGGGGACTCCCCTGGCCCACGGGGCCCCTCCCTCTCCTCCTGGGGCAATGGGGCAGGAGTGTCTGTGGAGCTCAGGAGCCAGCCCAACTGGGAAAAGATAAAAAGCCCATCGGTGGCGCAGCAGCTCACCGCGCCCCGTCTCCGCTCTCTGCGCCTGCACCCCGGCCCCCCGACAGCCATGAGGTCCTCCGTGTCTCGGCAGACGTACTCTACCAGAGGGGGCTTTAGCTCCAACTCTGCGAGTGCGGGAGGCGGGTCCCGGGCCCGCAGCAGCTTCAGCTCCGTGACGGTGTCCCGGAGCAGTGGCAGTGGTGGGGGCACCCGCTGTGGCCCCGGCAAGGGTGGCTTTGGCAGCCGAAGCCTCTATAACCTGGGAGGCAGCAAGAGCATCTCGGTCAGTGTGGCTGGAGGGGCCTCGTCAGGGCGGGCCCTAGGAGGCTTCGGCTTTGGCAGTGGGGCCTTTGCAGGCCTGGGGGCCGGCAGGCAGGTGTTCGGGCCCGCCTGTCCTCCTGGAGGCATCCAGGAGGTCACCGTCAACCAGAGCTTGCTGACCCCCCTCAACGTGGAGATAGACCCCGAGATCCAGAGGGTGCGCACCCAGGAGCGGGAGCAGATCAAGACCCTCAACAACAAGTTTGCCTCCTTCATCGACAAGGTGAGCCGGGGTGGAAGGAGGCGGGGAGGGGCCCTTGGAGCGGAAGCAAGGCCCCTAAGAGGTTGGGGGCCGGGCAGAGGCTGTTGCAGCCCGTGTCCATTGTGGCAGGGCTTGACCAGGTGACTGTTGGGGCTCCCTGGCCTGGCGACAGTCTTCTGGGTCTTACCGTCCTTGCTCCGGTGAATCTCGGTTCTGCTCATGAGGCCTGATGCCAAGCCTGCCTCGACTGTGTTGTGCCTCCCCCTTGGCCGTCGCTAGCATGGTCACACGGCAGCCTGCCGCACAATTAAGGAGTGGACCCTCCTCACCGTTCCTCTTAACAGGGTGGTCCTTGGTGCCGCTTGTCATGTCACAGCTGGGGAAACCGGCACAAACATCTACCGGGTTATCCCAGGAGCCCCATCTCCTCCCTGTTCTCTCCGTTTTGGAGAAGGCCTGAGGACAAAGATGTGATCAGGACACGACGAGGGCGTTGGCCCAGGAGAAGTTACCGTTTTGCTTCTCCGATCCCTCCCTGCTATTCTGGTCGGGAAGCTCAGTTTGGGATGGACAGTGACGAGGGTGGTCACCTGGGGGTATAGTCTGGTGCATCCCGGACGGGGAGCATGCTGGCTCCTTCCCTGGGCTCCAGGCCCACTGGGTGGCTCTTGTGTTGCTCTCTGGAACTTCCAGGTCCATTTTGCTGCATTGTCTACCTCTGCCCCAAATCCCCAGGTAAGGGGACTGTGATGGGGAAAATTCTGGTGGGTAACCGTATCTTAGTTCAGTGGTCTGGGGATTCCCAAAGAATATCCTCTTTCTGAACCCACAGCATCCCATAGGAATCAGAATAGGTGATACTGTGTCCATTTTGAAGAAGAGAAAAACAGAGGTCTAGAGAGGGCAAGTGATTTGCCCCAGGATCCTACAGGCACTTGGAGGCAGAGGTGGGCCTGGAACCCAGGTTCATGGGCCCCACGGTCCTTGGCATTAAGAGGTCTGGTCGCTGCTTGTGGCAGGTGCACCTGCTTCACGGTTCCCAGGCCACGTGACTTTGGGCCTGGGGTGCTGTGGGGGTGGGATCTGCAGGAACCAGATGGCAGAAGGTGAAGCAAGCTGTTCCCTCCACCCCCTCACCTTCTCCCCTAGTGACTTTTGGATCCCTGTGGAATTGCCCCAGAGGTCAGACAAGCAGAAACCCGTCTCAGGCGCTCAGCAACATGCGGGGGTCTGTGAGGCAGACCCGGTCCGGTGTCTGTGCCCAGGCAGAGACTCCCCCAGGGGACCTATGAAGCCCAGGCCGTGAGCCCCCTTTAAGTCTTTCCAGATAGGGCTGGGCATCTATATTTAAAAATTTTTTTAAAAGGTTAAGTTTACAGAAGAGTTGTCAGAACAGTACAATATATTCCTATACATATTTTTTTTCACCCAGATGCACCACATTTAAAATTTCAATGTAATTTATTTTAATTTCATTTAATTTTAGTTCCAATACGGTGTTATATATTTTAGGTTCCGGTGTATACCATGGTGATTCAACAGTTCCATACATCAGCCGGTGCTCGTCTCAAGAGCCCTCCTCAATCCCCGTCCCCTATTTCTCCCACCCGCCTCCCCCCCAGTAGCCAGCAGTGTGTTCTCCAGAGTAACGAACCGGTTTCTTGGTTTGTCTCTTTCTCTCTTTGCGTGTTTGTCTCTTCAATTCCACATTTGCGTGAAATCCTGTGGTATTGGTCTTTCTCTGACTGACTTAATTTCGCTTTACATTCACCAATTAAAAAAAAAGAAAAAGATTCACCAATTTTTACATTTTGTCACATTTGCTTTCTCCTTCCCTGTGTGTGTGTACGTACACGTGTACGTGTTCGTGTACCTATGCACACATACACTAGATGTGCACCTGCATTTTTAGCACTTGACTTTGATGTAGAATTAGGGCTCAGAAATATTGATCTAGTCTGGTTTATCCTGGACAAGTGGGAAAAGGAGACCCAGAGAGAAGTAACTTGACTGTCACCAAGGAGCAAATGACTGAGCTGGTTTTTTTTTTTTAATTTTTTTTTAAATTTTTATTTATTTATGATAGTCAGAGAGAGAGAGAGAGAGAGAGAGAGAGAGAGAGAGGCAGAGACATAGGCAGAGGGAGAAGCATTGAGCTGGGGTTTTATGGTTTATTAACTCTTTAGAGTCCTTGTCATTGGATTGGACCGTCTTTTCCAGCAAAGACTGTTCCCGCAGGGACACCTCCCCTCAGCAATGCATCGACCCTGCACTGGCCCTGTGATGTCCTGGTTGGGGGCTGGTGGTGATGATGGGCCCAGTCCTGGGTCCCTCCTGGGGCAGAGGGAGGGCACCAACCCACCACCCTTCTTGCTCTGGTTTAGGTACGTTTCCTGGAGCAGCAGAATAAGGTGCTGGAGACCAAATGGGCCCTGCTGCAGGAGCAGGGCCAGAACTCTGGTGTCACCAGGAACAACCTGGAACCTCTCTTTGAGAACTACTTGGGCAACCTGCGGAGGCAGCTGGACAACCTCCAGAGCGATCGGGGGAGGCTGGACTCAGAGCTGAGGAATGTGCAGGATGTCCTTGAGGACTTCAAGAGCAAGTGAGGAGGACTGGACAGGCTGGGGCCATGTGGGGGTAGGGAGGGGACAGCGTGGGAAATATCCCCAGAGAGTCACCCCATTCCCAGGCTCCTAGGCCCTACCTGGGGAAGTGCGCAGACTGAGCTGCTTTCCCCGGGTGTCCAGGCCCTTGACTCATTGCCTCCTGGAGAATTGTCCCACTTATTTGCACACTGTTCATAATTTGAAAAACCCTAAGGTAGGGATAGTAGCGTAAGGGATCTCTATGTTCTTATCATTCAGCTTTAATAATTATTAACTCATAGCCAATCTTGCTTCATCTATAGGCCCGTTTGACTTTTCTCCTCCCTTATGTCTTGAAGCAAATCCCAGCCATCGTGTGATTTCATTCTCATATATTTACTGGGTATATTCATGTGGCTTATCTGCATAGCTCGACTTAATAGAATATAAACACTACGCCATAACCACGTCTCAGACTTTTTTTTTTACATCTCAGACTTTTAAAACAGTAATTCCTCAATATCATCGACTATCCATTCATTCTGAATTTTCAGTTGTCCCATAAATGTCATGAGTTTTAAAAATAGTTTGTTTGAATCAAGATCCAAATAAAGGTCATAGATTATGATGAGTTGATACGTATATTTATAATTTTAGGGTATAATCTTTCATAACTTTTCCGATATCTCGATCCTGGTGATTTCTAACCTTTAAAATCTCAGCAAAAGTGGTTGGAGAGAAGTAAACTGTTGTAAATGACGTCCTACCTGTTGAAAGGGAACGCAAAGATAAACCACTGTTGACACATCTTTGCCTGTTCCTCCAAAGGGCCCCGATCCAAAGAGACAGCTGATCTGTGCCATATTATTGTACAAAATCTGTGCCCATTTCCTCAAAGCGGGTGGACGGGAATATGTAACAACTGCCCCCCAAGCCTCTTCACTGGGCGCCTGCATTACAAACCTGCTTCTCAGAGGTGTTCTTAGATAATGCGGGACCCAATGGGGCTTAAAGCCAAGTGGGTTAAATGTCTTAAAAGGCAGAACTAGGCTGAGCCTGGCGTACGTCTTCCCGTGTAACAGGTACGAGGATGAAATCAATAAGCGCACTGCAGCGGAGAATGAGTTTGTGCTGCTCAAGAAGGTGAGCCGGGGAGCAGGGAGTGGGGGAGCGGTTCTCGGGCTCGCCGGGGTGCTGCGCTGACTCAGAGGGAGGCGACAGCCCCGGGGGCTGAGGCGTCTGCCCTGCTGTCTCTCTTTCCCCCAGGATGTGGATGCTGCATATATGAGTCGAATGGATCTGCAGGGCAAAGCGAGCACCTTGACTGAGGAGCTCAACTTCCTGAATCATCTCTATGAAATGGTGAGATGGCCAATGGACAGGGACAATTACATTTCCCTATAGCCCTGGGGAGTCCCCCTGGAGGTCTGATCTGAATTCACTAATGCAGTTTGTTTTTTTGAAATTAGTTTTTAAATATTTTATTTATTTGATAGAGAGAATGCACACAAGCAGGGGGAGTGGATGCAGAGGGAGAAGCAGGCTCCCCACTGAGCAAGGAGCCCCATGCCGGGCTAGATCCCAGGACCCTGAGATCATGATCTGAGCTGAAGGCAGATGCTTAACCACCAGGTGGTCCTTCACCAATGCAATTTAATTGAAAAAAGATAGAACCCGGACCTTTCATTAATACCAGCTTCCGTGTATTAGGTGCTAAGGGTGGGCCAAGTTTTACATAATCCTCCCAACAAAGCCACAGTATAGGTACTTATTGTCTCTATTTTATAGCCAGGGACACCCGAGTTGATCCCTGACTCGGTGTCCTGGATTGGGACTTGGTCGGGGCGTCACGGCCCACCTTCCCCTCCGTGCTGGAGTCCTTCTCTAACATCACTGATAGGAGTCATGGGGCCTCGGATTGGATCCTCCTGGGGGCCGGGAGCTCATCATTTTTTACAGCAGGCGTTTCCATTGTTGACCAAATTAGACCACTAACTTCAATCTTCTTCCCGTGACTTCTGCTCTTGATTGGCCCTGATTCCACCTCCAGGCAGCGAACGCAATTGTCTTCCATGTGGCATATATCTTTCACATGGCGACCTTTTGGAGGTCAAGAGGCTTCAGGAACTGACATCTGAGGAAGTTGAGGAAACAGTGTTCTTAGCCCAGACTTTGGAGAACAGCAGGGGAGGGAGGGAGGCTACAGACTTGCATTCGTGCTGCCTAATGTTGCACTAGTTTGTCATCTTTAGAGGCCATTTCACAATATTTGTTCCTTAAAAAACCCTCCCGGAGTTTTTCACACAAGAGTTTTCAAGCCATGCACGCATCCATTTCTTTTCAACTTTCTGTTTTTGGGTGGTTGAATTTTGGAAACCAAATGCAAGAGTTAATGAGCCCTGATTTTCCCGTGAAATGTTATTGTGGTTTCATCCCATCGTCCAGGTAACTGTGGGCACTTTGAAACTCGATGTCTCCTATCTATGTGTTGGAGAGACCCAACTGGGTAATGGGATATATTTGATATATTCATGATGCCCCAGCTTGGGGTTCTCTGCACACCTGGTAAACTTTCCGTGTAGCGTGAAAGTCCATTTCAGGGTATGTGACCAGTAAGCACGTTAAAGCCAGTATGGCCAAGACCTAAGTCTTAGTGCAGGAGTGAGGTCTTCTGTGGTACCTTTCCCCCAGGCTGACCTCACTCCACAATCAATAATTTGTGGTTCAAGTGGCTCAGCTACTTTAAACGCGAGTTGACCATATCATCATCTGGTCCGCATCTTTTCTTGCGTTCAAGAATGCCATGGAAGCCTTGGTCATGTGATGTCTGTGATGGTCCGTTAGCATTTTAGTAATGCAACCATAGGGGAAAATGAAATCCATTTGGCTTGATCTTTCCTTAGGGAAGTCTTGCTGGTTCCAACCCTCTTACATTTTGTGATTCTAGAGGCCCATAGGAGGTTGACGGCAGGTCTAATCTGAAAAAGTGTAAATATCATCCCCTTGACAATGAGGACATTTGCTTTATCTGCGGTTCTGGAATCTTTCCTACTCTCCACATTTCTTATGGGTCTCTGGGAGTATTCATCTCCTCGGCAATCCCATGGCCTCCTAGGATGAGTTCCTTTGGCCTGGACCCTTGACATCCCCAACAAGGCCAAGGCCTCTCATACTCTCCATGTCTCTCTTGGCTTTCCATTTCTCCTCCAGCATCCTGCCCTTTCTAGTCTGAGACTGTTCTCCTTGATGGGAAACAGTTAGTGAATGGTGGACTGGGGACTTGACCTTCGCTTTGCCTGTCTCCAGAGCTCATGCCTTTTCATGAAACCGCGAACATTTCAGCGATTGGATGTTAGCTCCTTCCTCTCCACGCATCCCACCTTTTAAAAGACAATGTAACTTAGTAAATCTAAATCTATGTTAGTATGGGCAGCAGGTCCGGCTTTGGTAGCTCTTTTTTTCTCGATTTCTGTCTCTCTTTTTAGTCTATGTCACCTCAGTTTCTGGTGTCAGATGCTCTAGGCTTGAGCCTGGGCTCCCTGTTTATTAGTCTGCGATTTGGAGCAGGTTACCCTTTGCGCTATTGGAAAGTGCAAGTACCGAGTTGGCGCCTGTCAGGGATGGCACCTGCCCACAGCGTCTGCCCAGAGGAAGGACTCAGCCAGGGAGAGCTGCTGTTATGATGCCGGCTCTATCTGTTAGAATCCCACTGGCTGCAGGGAAGCTGGAGGCAACACCAGAGCACACAAGGCATTGACTTTTAGAAGGAAGACTCTCTTCTTTGGGAGCCACTGAGGAGCACTGAGGGGCTGAGGGATCTGAGCGATTTGATTGGACCTGGGGTTTGGGCAGTTTGCCGGCAGCTCAGGGCAGGAAGGACCACGGGAGAGTTGGAGGCAGAGCTCAGCGGGGAGCCCGTGCAGATGACCTAGCGATAGAGCTGAACTCAGAGCCAGAACACAGAGACCCAGCCTGCCGTTCGTGGCATCTTTATTTTTTTTTTCTTTTTAAAATTTATTTATGATAGTCACAGAGAGAGAGAGAGAGAGGCAGAGACATAGGCAGAGGGAGAAGCAGGCTCCATGCACCGGGAGCCCGACGTGGGATTCGATCCCGGGTCTCCAGGATCATGCCCTGGGCCAAAGGCAGGCGCTAAACCGCTGCGCCACCCAGGGATCCCCTCGTGGCATCTTTAAAGGCCTATTTATATGTGAAAGCGGATGGTCTTAGAAACCCAGGGAGATTCCAAGAACATCACCATGGTCTATATATGTCAGTATATTCTAGGGGAAACCACTTGGGATTTGTTGCTCAACTGACTGGTTCCAGTCTGGCTCCTAGGACAGGACTGGAGGATCTTGGATCTGGTGACCTTGGATGCATCACTTCTCTTTCCAGAGCCTAGCCTCTTTCCTCACTAATCTGTGTCAGGATCAATGTGAATGGGGGTGCAGGTTGATCGCTGGCTGAGTGGAGAGTGAGGTTTGAATCACGCCATGCTCAGCTCCCTAGGCCCCACCGTCTGCCTCCTATCAGAGGGGGGACTTTTCCCAATTTGATAAAAGTGCCCCGGGTGCCAGTCATGGCCTGGCCTGCCTCCCAGGGTGTTCTGAGGATGCAGGGACTGGTGGACGTACTGGCTGTAAGCCTAGCACCGGGTTTGAGTGCAATACGTACACATTCCTTCTCCTTCTTTAATCCCTTGGAAACCTGTAAATCCACAAAAAGAAAGGATATTTATAAAAGTGAGAGCCCCATTTCCCAGCTGGAGACAATGAGGCCTTTCCTTCTAGGCTGGAGCCTGGACCAGAGCACAGGCCTTCTGATGCCACCTGGGGCCGGTCCTTCACTCCTCAGCCGTCTCCTGGGGGCCTGGAGCAGGGGCTCTGGTGGCAGCTGTCTCTTTTTCTGCAGGAGCTGAGTCAAGTGCAGACCCACGTGTCTGACACCAATGTGGTCCTGTCCATGGACAACAATCGCAGCCTGGACCTGGACAGCATCATTGCTGAGGTCAAGGCCCAGTATGAGCTGATTGCCCAGAGGAGCAGGGCTGAGGCTGAGGCTTGGTACCAGACCAAGGTGAGAAGAACGGCAGGTCAGGTGTGTGGGTGGGACGGACACAGCACATCCCCCGTGGTGAGAGACCTGGGCCAGAGGTACCCAGCCCACACAGGGGGCCTCTAGCTGTGAGGTGGGCCTGGGGCCGATAGTTACCCAGGAGGGTCTAGAACTGCCACTCACTGCCGCTTGTTTGGTCTCCAGTATGAAGAGCTGCAGGTGACAGCTGGGAAGCATGGGGACAACCTGAGGGACACTAAGAATGAGATTGCTGAGCTCACCCGCACTGTCCAGAGGCTGCAGGGCGAGGTGGATGCAGTTAAGAAGCAGGTGAGCCTTTGATTGGGAGCCTGGAGGTCAGACCTGGGTTGGCAGAGGTAGGGACCTTCTCACTGTCATACTGAGGGGTGAGAACTGCTCCTTTCCTGGTGGATGGGACACACTCAGAAGCTGGACTGTTAAGACCAACACACCCCTTTTACAGGATAGAAAACTGAGGCCTGGAGAAGGATAGGGCTTGTCCAAGGTCACATAGTGTATCACGGGGGGAGCAGGTGGGATGATCTCCAAAGAGATTGGTCCCATCTTCAGGAGGTCAGAGCAGGAGGCTGACTGTTCGAGTGGCCACGTCATAGGTGCTGATTCCATCTAGGATATGGCTAAAAAGCCTGGGCTTTTTCCCCAGATCAGAGTGAAGCGTCTGGTTAATGATGAGCTTCTATTACTTATTTTATCTCCTGTGAGGCACTGCACTGAGGGAGGGAGTACGATTAGACTTCAGTAAGGACTTCCCCGCAGTGCTGACTCCGCTGTGTAGTGGTAGCTCTTCTCTGAGAGGACTATTTCTGCTTCCCTTCTTGCTCAGTTGGCTGGGGTCGGTGGGGGAGGGGAGTGGCGATGTCTGGGTCGGGGCAGAGAGATGGATGTGATGACCCTGGAGGGTGTTCCCAACACCTCTCATCCCTTGGGCAGTGCCAGCAACTGCAGACTGCCATCGCAGAAGCGGAGCAGCGTGGGGATATGGCCCTGAAGGATGCTCAGAAGAAGCTTGGGGACCTGGACATGGCCCTGCACCAGGCCAAGGAGGACCTGGCCCGGCTGCTGCGCGACTACCAGGCTCTCATGAACGTCAAGCTGGCCCTGGACGTGGAGATCGCCACCTACCGCAAGCTGCTGGAGAGCGAGGAGAGCAGGTGGGGGCCCCTCCTGCCCTGGGAAGAGAGCTCCGAGCTGGGGGTAGGGAGATAAGGGGGCAGTCAGGGAGCTGGGCTCCTGCCTCTTCCCCCCCAGGGACTTTCCACTTGTGCTCACTGCCTCTGCTGTGCGTGTCCTCAGTCGGCACAACTATCAGTAGCCTTGCGGCGGTCGGCAGCCCTGCAGGACTGAGGCTGCTTCCACCAACCTTTGAAGCTTTGAAAAAATAAATCATTTCTGTCCTTGGGAAGGCATGAGATGTAAAAAAAGTCACTTTAAACCAGAAACCGGGAGGCTTTGTTTTGGCATGAGCTGTGTTTGCTGTCACGATGCGCAGGAGGCCGAGGGGACGACAGGGCAGAATGGGGCCATTTGGCCTCCTATGGTCTGCTTTCTCTGTAGCGCCTGCTGGAAGGGCCGTGAGGCCCAGGGCAGCCGCGTGCACACGTTTCTCATGTCTCCTGGTCTTGTCTTGCTGGCCTGGCTTGAGAGTTGGCCCACTGAGTTGATCCACCATGAAGGCAGAGAATGGGACGGGGGAGGGAGGGAGAGGGTTTTTTCACCTGGGCTCCGGGAACCCCTGACCCTTCTCCTGGTCTTTCTGTTTCTGCAGGATGTCTGGAGAATGCCCCAGTGCAGTCAGCATTTGTGAGTACTTTGCCTCCTTGCCCTGCCCCAGGCCCAGCCCTGATCCCCTGCTCAGTCCACTTAGTCTGTCCTTGGCCAGGAGCACATGTTCCCTCCACCTGAGCCCCCGGAGACAAGTTCGGGGGTTCCCAAAGAACAAGCTTCCTGCCCCACTTCCTCCATCAGTCTCCCATGGCTCCATGCCTCCTTGTGTTCCCGTCCCTCACTGGTTTCTGCAAGTTCCCCTCCCTCTTCCAGCCCTGCCTCACCCAGACCCTTTGCCTTGCAGCGGTGACCGGCAACTCCACTACTGTGTGCGGAGGCGGCGTGGCGGGCTTTGGGGGTGGCATGTCCCTCGGCGGGGGTGGGGGTGCTGGCAAGGGCGGATTCGGCACCAGTGTGGGCTATGGCACCATCAAGGGAGGGCCCGTCTCTGGGGGCACCTCCATCCTGCGGAAGACCACCACGGTCAAGACGTCAAGTCGGAGGTATTAGCTGCCCAGCCTTGCAACCTGGGGCCCCTGCAATTTTCTCCTTGTTGTACTCACCCCAGCCCTCCTGCCCTCCCCACCCACCCCCATAAGAGAGGGAACAGCCCCAGGACCACAGGTCCAGTGTATTTGCATGCCAGACCCTGCAGGTGATCTGCATTTGGGGAAGGCTCAAATGTACCCACATTTTCTCCTTGCTTCTGCAACGTGATGGGAGGGGGGGTTAAGGCCACCTCCTTGAGCAATGTATTTGAGTGACTTGGGGGTGACCTTTTGACCACTGAGAGGAGACTGGATTTCCCTTGATTCCTCTGCTCCTCTGCTCTGCACTCAGGGCAGGCTGGGGGAGGAAGGAGGGAAGTTGGGAGTGGTCCCTGAAGGCCTTTCAACCTCCCTGGTCTCTCACTAGACCCGACCCCTCTCTGAATCTACCCGCCTGCCTCCCCTGTCTGTGCCTGTGATGTATCTCAATAAATGGCAACTGCAGCTAGCTGTCTGTGCCTCCCGTCTGTCCTGCCTGGGGGACTGAAATTGTCAACCACAAGCTCACGATGCTCCATGCTACTCACCACGCCAGAAGCACAGCGGCTGATACCATCACCACTGTAGGCCTTGGTTCTTACTCTCCCTTACGGAGTTCACAGGAGAAGACTTGAGGGGATATAGAAGTTGTTCAAGGCAGGACCCAGCCAGTGAGCAGCTGCCTATTACCAGTCCATCCCTTGATGCTACCGAGTCCTCTGCTAATTCTGTGGGGCAGGCAGCATGATTGTTCAGTGGAGAGATCTTGGGCTTCAGAACTGGGCAAACCTGGGTTTAGATCCCAGTTCTGCTGCTTACTGTGTGACCTTGGGCAAGTCACATAACCTCTCTGAGCCCCTTTGTAAGGCAAAATGTGATGAGGACATGTGTAAAGTCCCTGGCTAATGAAGGTCTTGACAGAAACCAGCTCCCTTTGCTTCCCTTCCCTCTGGATCCTGGTTTCCCACCTCACCAAGGAGTCTGATGGCTTCTCTCTTAGCCCTCACATCTAGTCGTCAACAAGAATCTACATTTTCCCAACAATAGCAAAATATATATTTTTCTCAAGCACACATGGGATGTTTTCTAGGATAGGTTATATGTCAGGCCATAGAAAAAGTCTTAGCAAATCCAGGAAGATTGAAACTATATCAAGTATCTTCTCTGGTCTCAATAGTATGAAACTAGAAGTCAGTAACAGGAGGAAACTGGGAAATTCATGAACACATGGAAATTAAACAGCACTTTCCTCAACCACGAATGGATCAAAAAAGAAATTAAAAAGGAAATAAGAATCTTGAGACAAATAGAAATGGAAAAATAACGTGCTAAAACTTATGGGATGCCATAAAAGCAGTTCTCAGAGGGAATTTTATGGCTATAAACACATATATCAAGAAAATAGAAACACCTCAAATAAACCACCTAACTTGACCCCTCAAGGAACCAGAAAAACAACAACAAACTAAGCTCAAATTTAGCAGAAAGAAGGAAATGATAAAGATTAGAGCAGAAATAAATGAAATAAAGAATAGGAAAACAATAGAAAAGATTAAACGAAGAGTTGCTTCTTTGAAGAGATAAACAAAATTGACAACTCTTAGCTAGACTCACCATGGAAAAGAGAGAGGACCCAAATTAACAAAATTTTAAATGAAAAAGGAGGTGCAATCACTGATAACATAGAAATGCAAAGGTTCATAAGAGACTCCTTTGAACATCTAATGACAACAAGCTGATTTGAACATCTATGTGACAACATCCTACGAGAAATGACTATACTCCTAGAAACATACAACCTACTAAGACTGAATCAGAAAGAAATAGAAAATCTGAGCAGGTCAATTTCTAGTAAGGGGATTGAATCAGTCATCCTTCCTGTAGAAAAGGAAACTACAGGGATCCTTGGGTGGCGCAGCGGTTTGGCGCCTGCCTTTGGCCCAGGGTGTGATCCTGGAGACCCGGGATCGAATCCCACGTCAGGTTCCCGGTGCATGGAGCCTGCTTCTCCCTCTGCCTATGTCTCTGCCTCTCTCTCTCATTCTGTGTGACTATTATAAATAAATAAAAATTAAAAAAAAAAAAAGAAAAGGAAACTACAGGCCAATATCTCTGATGAATATAGATGCAAACATTCTCAAGAAAATACTAGCAACAACTTCTTGCTAGACACATCTCCAAAGGCAAGAGAAACAAAAGCAAAAATGAACTATTGGGACTTCATCAAGATAAAAAGTTTTGCACAGCAAAGGAAACAGTAGACAAAACTAAAAGGAAACCTATGGAATGGAAGAAGATATGTGCAAATGTCTTATCAGATAAAGGGCTGGTATTCAAAATCTAAAGAACTTATCAAACTTAACACCCAAAAGACAAAAAATCCAGTCAAGAAATGGGCAGGAGACATGAACAGACATTTCTCCAGAGAAGATTTCCAGATGGTCAACAGACACATGAAAAAATGCGCAGCATCATCAGCATCAGGGAAATATAGTGAGATACCACAATGAGATGCCACCTCACATTGGTCAGAATGGCTAAAATTAATAGCTCAGGAAACAACAGATGTTGGCGAGGATATGGAGAAAGGGGAATCCTCTTATACTGTTGGTGGGAATGCAAACTGGTGCAGCCACTCTGGAAAACAGTATGAAGCTTCCTCAGAAAGTTAAAAATTGAGCTACCCTATGACCCAGCAACTGCACTACTAGGTATTTATCCAAAGGATACAAACCTAGTGATTTGAAGGGGTACATCACTGCAATATTTATAGCAGCAATGTCCACAGTAGCCAAAATATGGAAAGAGCCTAGATGTCCATCGACAGATGAATAAAGAAGATGTGATATATATATGTGATATTTATATATATATAAATATTACTCAGCCATCAAAAAGAATATAATCTTGCCATTTGCAATGACATGGATGGAACTAGGGGTATTATGCTAAGTGAAATAAGGTGGTCAGAGAAAAATAAATGCCATATGATTTCACTCATATGTGGAATTTAACAAACAAAACAGATGAACATAGGGGAAGGGAAGGAAAAATAAAATAAGATGAAAATGGAGAGGGAGGCAAACCATAAGAGATGGTGAACTCTAGCTAACAAACTGAGGGTTGCTGGAGGTGAGGTGGATGGAAGGAAGGTACAACTGGGTGATGGGCATTAAGGAGGGCACTTGATGTAATAAGCACTGGGTATAATATGCAACTGATAAATCACTAAATTTTACCTCTGAAACAAATAATAATAATAATAATAATAATATTAAATATATAATTATAATAATAATAAAAAACCCAAAACCAAAACCAAAAGGAAAATTCTAGCAAACTGAATTCAGCAGCACATTAAAAAGACCATATACTATGATCAAGTGAGGTTCATCCCTAGCATACAAATTTGGTTGAACAAATGCAAATCAATAAAAGTTATATACATCACACTAATATAAGATAAAAATCATATGATCCTTTCAATAAATACAGAAAGAGCTTTTGAAAAAACTCAACACCCATTCATGATAAAAACTATCAACAAATTAAGGCCATGTATAACAAGCCCATAGCTAGCTCCATACTCCGTGGAGAAAGGTTAAACATTTTTCCTCTAAAATCAGGATCAAGACAAGGGTGCACACTCTTACGGCTCCTATTTCAAGAAGTACTGGAAGTCCTCCCCTGAGAAGTCAGACAAGAAAAAGGAATTGAAGCCATAAGAGTCGGAAAAGGAAGAAGTCAGATGGTCTCTCTTTGCAGATGATATGACTTTATATGTAGAAAATCTTGAAGACTCCACCAAACAACCATTAGATCTTAACCAATGAATTTACTAAGGTCGCCGTTTACGAAATCAGTAGTGTTTCTATACACTAACCATGAATTCTCTGAAGGAGAAATTATGGAAACGATCTCATTTTACAACAGCATCAAAACCAACAAGATACTTAAGGAATAAATTTAACCAAGGAAGTGAAAGATCTGTACACTAGAAACTAAAGACATCGATGAAGGAAATTGGAGAAGATTTAAATACATGGAAATAAATCTGTGTGCATGGATTGGAAGAATTAATATCGTTAAGTTGGCCATACGACCCAAAGCCATCTGCAGATTCAGTGCAATCCCTATCAAGATCTCAATAGCTTTTTTTTTTTTTTTTTTACAAAAGTAGAAAGAACAATAGTAAAGTATTATGGAACCACAAGAGACTCCAAATAGTCAAGCAATCCTTTGAGAACAAAGCCGGAGGCATCACACTTCCTGATTTCAAACTGTACTATAAAGCTATACTAATCAAAAAGGGACAGGACCAGCATAAAAACACATACAGAGACCAATAGATCATAATCGAGAGTCCAGAAATAAATCCATTCATGCATACACGGTCACCTAATATTTGAAAGGAACCAAGAATACGCAGTGGAGAAAAGACAATCTCTTCAACAGTGGCGTTGGGAAAATTGGTTATTCACAAGTAAAAGAATAAAACTAACTTATACCACTTACGAAAATTAACTCTTTAGTGGACTAAAGAGTGAGACCTAAAACCATACAGCTTCTAGAAGAAAACACAGAGAAAAAGCTTCTTGACATGGGTCTTGGCAATGATTTTTGTTTTTTTTGGATATGACACTTACTGTATAAGCAACAACATAAAAAATAAATGGTACTATATCAAACTAGAAAACTTCTGCACAGTGAAAGATATAATCAACAACATGAAAAGGCCACCCACGGATTGGGAAAAAAATATTTGCAAATCATATATCTGTTAAGGGGTTCGTATCCAAAATATATACGTAACTTATACAACTCAAAAGCAAAAAAATCCAAATAATTCCATGAAAAATGGGAAGAGGATCTGAACAGATATTTTCCCAAAAAAGATATTCAAATAGCCAACGGGTGCGTGCAAAGGTGTTCAATGTCCCTCATCATCAGGGAAATGCGAGTCAAAACCACAATGAGATACCATCTCATGTCTGTTTGGATGGCCCTCAACGAAAAGTCAAGAGAGAACAAATGCTGCCGTGGATGTGGAGAGTAAGGGAACCCTGTGCCGTGTTGATGGGAATGCAAATTGGTGGAGCCAATATGGACAACGGCATGCAGGGGCCTCAAAAAGTTAAAAAAAAAACCCAGAACTATCATATGAGCTAGTAATCCCACTTCCGGGAATATATCTGAAGGAAACAAAATCACTATGTTGAAGAGATCTCTGTGCTCCCACGTTCGTGGCACTCTCGCTTACAATGGCCAGTGACACACGGAAACAACCTAAGTGTCCGTCGGTGGATGAGTGGGTAAAGAACACATGGTCTATAAGGCGACAAAATACTCTTCAGCCATAGGAAGGAAGGCAATCCTGACATTTGAGACAACATGGATAGACCTTGGGGGCATCACGCTAAGTGAAATAAATCAGGCAGAGAAAGATAAATACTGTATGCTCTCGCTTAC